CTCCGCTGTGTCTTCCTGGGCTTCCCCACTGACGCTCCACCCTGGCAGTTCTACCACCCTGCCTCGCGTCGTGTTCTGTCCTCTCAGGACGTCACCTTTGATGAGTCGGTCTGTTACTACCGACTTCACCCGCACGCGTCCCACCCGGTCCCCCTTGCACCCCTCTTCCTGGTACCAGTCCCCCCCCCGGTAGACCCCCTCCCCCCACAGGGTCCTGCTCCCTCACGTGTGTCCCAGGTAGACCCACCCCCCTTGGATGAACCAGTTGAGATCTCTTCTGACTCCTCTGACTCACCTGAGGGGGGTGACGCCGTCGCCGACGACACGGCGACCAACTCGCCACACTCCTCGCTTGGCGACCCCCCGGGTTTCCCGCCACGGCCGTCTTCGCCGCCTCCGTAGCCTGCTGCTGTGGACTCTGGAGCTGAGACTACTGGAGCTGGGGCTGGGGGTGGTGAGTCTGGGGGTGCCCGCTCTCCTCGTCTGGCTACCCCCCCCCCGGGTTCCCACCTCTGCCGTCTTCGCCGCCTCAGCAGCCTACTGCTGTGGACACTGGAGTAGAGACTAAGGGTGCTGGGACTGGGGGTGTTGGGACTGAGGGTACTGAGCCTGAGGGTGCTGGGACTGAGGTGTTGGGACTGAGGGTACTGAGCCTGAGGGTGCTGAGACTGAGGGTGCTGAGACTGAGGGTGCTGGGACTGAGGGTGCTGAGCCTGAGGGTGCTGGGACTGAGGATAATGAGACTTTGGGTGCTGACTCTGGGGATGCTGAGACTTCGGGTGCTGACTCTGGGGGTGCTGCGAGTCCTTCTGGAGGTCCTGGAGCTGGAGGTACTGGAGCTACTATGCCTGGAGGTCCTACCGGAGGTACTAGAGGTACTACTGGTGCTGGAGGTACTGGAGCTGCTGCTGGTGCTGGAGGTGCTGGAGCTGGAGGGTACTAGAGCTGCTTCTGGTGGCTGGAGGTGCTAGAGCTACCACTACTGGAGGTACTGGAGCTGGACAGCCACCGCAGCCTACTCTACTTGAGACGCTCTCGTCGCAGGCGATTCGTGCGTGGGTCGTTTCTGCGAGGCAGTCCTGGTGGTGGAGGGTACGGTCCTGCTGGTGCTGGAGCTACTAGTCCAGGAGGTGCTGCTGGTGCTGGAGGTGCTGGAGGAACTACTGGAGGTACTAGAGGTGCTGCTGGTGCAGGAGGTACTGGAGCTGCTGGTGCTGGGGGTTACTAGAGCTGCTGCCGGTGCTGGAGGTACTGGAGCTGGTGGCACTGGAGGTGCTGGTGCTCCTGGTGCTGGAGCTGCGGGAGCTGCTGACCTTGGAGGTGCTGGTACTGCTGGTGCTGGAGGTGTTGGAGCTGGAGGGTACTAAGAGGTGCTGGAGCTACTGGTCCCGGAGGTGCTCGTACTGGAGGTGGTGGAGCTGCCGGAGCAGGTGGTACTGCTGGTGCTGGAGGTGCAGGAGGTGCTACTGGAGCTGCTGGCACAGGAGGTACTGGAGGTACTACTGGTGCTGGAGGCGCTGGAGCTGGAGCTGGAGGCACTGGAGGTGCTGGAGGTACTACTGGTGCTCGAGGTGCTGGCGCTGTCGGAGCTCGTGGTGCTGGAGGTGCTGGTGCTACTGGTGCTGGAGGTGTTGCTGGGGGTACTGGAGGAGCTGCTCGTGCTGGAGGTACGGGAGCTACTGGTGCTCTTCGCCACCTTCTCAGTCTTCCGCCAGGTGCTACTGGCTTCCCTGTGGCAGGTACTACTCCTCCGTTGCTGTGTCCGCCAGCGGACCAGTCACAGCCACCGCTGCTACCAGGCACTCCCCACTTGCCTGCTCCTGCTCCTTACACTGTGGTGTCACAGTCCCTGACTGAGCATCGAGAGCCTGAGACTCGTGCTTCCAACCCCTGAGCGTCGAGAACCTGAGTCTAGCTTTGACCTTGAGCATGAGCCTAGAGCTGCTGTCCGTGCTCGCGTTCCTCGTGTTCGTCGTCCGCGTGCTCCGGCTGTCCCCGGCACTCACGATATGACACTCCGTCCTTCCTCTGTTCCTCAGCGTGTTGTACTATCGTTACCTCCTGCGTCCTCTCTGCCTGACGTTGCTGACCCTCCGTCTGACCTTGCTCGTGCGTCCAGTCCGAACTGGTTACTCGCCTTCTTGCTACGGTTGTGACGGACCCTACGTTCCTCGTCTCCTGCTGCGTCCTGCCCTAGTAGCTGAGCTTGTTGACTTTGCTGCTGTGTACCGCCTAGACTACCTTGCGAATCTTGTCCTCTTAACCCTGTCCCTGCCTGTCCTCCGTCCGTCGGGGGTGAGACTGCTCTTGGCTGTACTGCCCGTGGCTGTGACGTTCTTGAGGACAGACAGGAGGAGCTGGAGTGCCTTGCTGCCGCTATCACCCCATCACCGCGACCATGCTGCTTGCCCCTGAGGGAGACCCGGATGCACTTGACATCCCCCCACCCGCGCTCCTACAGGGAGGGCGATTTCGGGTGAGTACTCCTCTCAGTGGCAGACAAGCCATGGACGCAGAGATGGCTTCCTGGAAGTCCACTGGCACCTACGTCGACGAAGTTCCCCCACCTGGGGCGAACATCGTCAGTGGCATGTGGATTTTCAGGGTGAAGCGGCCGCCGGGTTCTCCGCTTGCCTTCAAGGCACGTTACGTTGCTGAGGCTTCAGTCAGCGTGAGGGGGTCGACTTCTTTTCAGACCTTCTCCCCCACCCCGAAGATGACCACTCTTCGGGTGTTGCTACACGTTGCAGCTCAGCGTGACTACGAACTGCACTCCCTCGACTTCTCGACAGCTTTCTTGCAGGGTAGCCTTCACGAGGCCATCTGGTTGTGCCGTCCACAGGGATTCACTGGGTCGTTTCCTGAGGGTACCCAGTGGAGCTTATGACGACGAGTGTACGGCCTGCGTCAGGCGCCCCGTGAGTGGCACGACACACTGAGGACGACACTTGCGGCTCTTGGGTTTGCTCCTTCGACAGTTGACCCATCGCTGTTTCTACGCACCGACACTACTCTGCCCGCCGTTCTACATCCTCGTGTACGTCGACGACTTGGTTTTTGCTACTGCTGACACTGAGGCACTGGCCCTAGTGAAGGCAGAGCTGCAGGAGAGACACACCTGCACTGACCTGGGTGAAGCTGCGGAGCTATCTTGGCTTGCTGATCAACCCGGGACACACCACGGCGCACCATCACCCTCACTCAGTCACACATGGTGCACCAGGTCCTTCAGCGCTTCCGTTTCACTTGGTCCTCGCCACAGCCTACTCCTCTGTCTACCGGCCACATCGCTCTCAGCTCCACCTTCGGACGAGTCCGTAGAGCCGAGTGGTCCGTACCCAGAGCTTCGTCATGTACCTGATGACGTGCACACGACCTGACCTCGCGTACCCTCTCAGCCTCCTGGCTCGCTACGTGGCACCTGGTCGACACCGAAAGGTGCACTTTGATGCTGCGAAGAGGGTACTGCGTTACTTGTGTAGCACATCGGGCATGGGGCTCGTGCTTGGAGGACGGGGTTCGGTGGTCCTCACAGGACACTCTGACGCTTCTTGGCCCGACGACCAGACGACTCAGCGTTCGTCACAGGGTTACACCTTCAGTCTTGGCTCTGGTTCTGTCTCGTGGAGGTCCACTCGTTCTTCTTCTGTGCTTGGTTCCAGCTGTGAGGCCGAGATCTACGCTGGGGCCATGGCTGCACAGGAGCTACGCTGGCTGACCTACCTGCTGACCGACTTGGGGGAGCGGCCTCGTTCTCCTCCGGTTCTGTACGTCGACAGCAAGGGCAATGCTTGCCTTGTGTCGCGAGCAGAGACTGGAGCACAGAACGAAGCACATTGCTCTTCGCTACTTCCTTGCGTGTGAGCTGCAGCAGCGTGGTCAGCTGCGCCTTGCTTACGTGGCCTCTCGGGCCAACACTGCTGATGTCTTCACCAAGGCCCTTGGGGCTGGTGATCATCACCGTTTCTGCACTGCTCTTGGGCTTGTGCCCACTCTGCCTCACCTGTTGGTTGCTTGACTTGCTCTTGTTGTACACTGCTATATATCTTTATACCTGCATGTTTTCTCTTGCTAGGTTGTGATCAGTGTACTGCCTTGCTATTATATACCTCTGCATGTGAACTGGCCTTGTGGCCAGTTGCTTGGGCTCAGAATGCGTGGTGACTTTGTGATCCACCCTGAGGTGTGTTCTCTTCTGCAGACTGGTCTTGTGACCGCTTGTTGTGTTTGCTGTCCCCTACTTTGCCTATGGGGTGTGTCAGATTACAATTGTATCTCTAGGCTACAGTAGGGTCACTCCTTAGTGAGTACAACACTTTAGGGTTAGGTTTCCCCTACTTGTACTCTACCTCTTGCATAGTTCAATCATCATTCATAGTTTCTATTCTTGACAGTAACGCTGTTCAGAGTAACACTCACTATTGAAATAGTTACGCATAACCATCACTATGGCCTAAAACATTACCTTGTATCAGGGAAAAACCCGATCTAAAAAAAAAAAAAAAAAAAAAAACAATTGCTATCAGTGTGACATATAAATGTTTACCCTGATATTAGTATATAAATGTATTTTATACCAGTAAAATAAGTCATGGCTACTACCATACTTCGGGAATGCTTACACAACATTACGACTATTCCAAATAATATGGAAGGATGGCCTATGGTCCTTCCTGAGAGAACCATTCACCATCCGTCTTTTAAGACCTCCAAGGGCTTGCTTTAGCGCCATTCCCCTCTCCAATATTTCAAAGTCTTGTTCTGTATATATTCCTAAATATAGAAAAGTGTTACGTAGGCCGCTGTGTTCCATGTCGCTGGATCTCGCAGCTGTTTTCGGCAATCATCCACTTTCGCTGGCCAATCACAACTCTCGCCCCACCAGCCCTTCCGAAATCCGCGATCGTAGTTCCTACTGTAACACAAACCCTCCCCTCCCCAGCACCATTCCACCCAGTGACCAAGCCACTTTTCCGCTGCCACGTGGCAGGTGAAATCGCATGGGCGACACGGGCTCAGCGGCGGTCTCGGCCAATGAGGATCCGCCTGTTGCGTGCGCTGCGGCTGCAGAAACGCCGGAGGTAGCGGCTCACCCGCTGTCCTTCCCGGACGCGCGGGCGCGAATCACCCACGTGATATTTGACCTGGACGGCACGCTCATTGACTCGGGTTAGTAGGACGGTACAAAGGGACGGCATGACTTTGAGTCGACTCAACCGGCTAAGATTTAGTCGCCTTTAAGAATTCTCAAAAGCGACTCAGAGTTAGTGGGACGGTTTGACTTTTGAGGCGACTCAAAAGAGACGGTAAAAGTAAAAGAGAAAGGGTTTCCATTGTTGTATAATTAATCGGAATGGATGGTGAGACGCATTTCGTGAGACCAAAAAACTGCTTTTGAGTCGACTCAGAAAAAAAATGCCTGGTGAGTCGCATTTTGTGAGACGACTTGACTTTTGAGTCAGACTCAAAAGTGTGTCGCCTTCTGTGAGACGACTCAAAATGCAACTCCCAGCCCTAGGTGACCTGTTGAGGTCGGACGGTTGAAGGGAGAGGAAAGGGTTACCATTGTGGAGTACCTCAAAAAGCTCTAGCACTTAACTTTTTTAGTTAAGAGTCTTCACGCTTGACTTGAGTGAGTTGAACGTTCAAGCAGAGTGGGAGAGGGCATTCGAGTCACGTCCTTCGGCATTCGTAACAATAGCGTGAAGATTCGCTTGGGTCTTTTTTCTGTTAGTCGACTCCACGCCAAGGTGCCTTTTGAGTCGACTCAGGAAGAGACACCTCGACGCAAAGTCGTTGCGCTGATTGACTGGGCTGAGTAGGACGGTGAAGGCTGGAGGCAGGAGGGAGTTGGGAGTTGGGAGTTGGGAGTCGAGAGTTGGGAGTCGGGAGTCGGAAGGCGACAGGCGGAAGGCGGCAGGGCGGAAGGCGGCAGGCGAGAGTGAACGGGGGGAAGGGAACGTGCCATGCCTTATTCCCTCTTTCTATCCCCAATGCCCTCTTTCCTTCCACTTCTCCTCTTGCTTCCCCCTCGGTTCCGCTTTTAAGTACACACGCCCTCCCACCTCCCCCAATCTTTTCTCCATCCTCCCTCACCATCCCTCCCCCATCCTCCCCCCATCCTCTCCCCATCCTCCCCCCATCCTCCCCCCATCCTCCCCCATCCGCCTCCCAGAGAGAGTGGTGACGGAGGCATCAAGGGAAGTGGTGGAGTCGCACGGCAAGGGCGTGGACGGGGGAGGGCGCGGAGCAGTGCATGGGGAGGCTGCCTATCGAAGGGGCGAGGGTGACCTTCCTTCCCCCATCCTTCCTCCATCCTTCCCCTATCCTCCCCCCCCATCCTTCCCCCATTCCCCCTCCCCGTATCTCCCCCCATTCCCCCTCCCCCCATCCCCCCTGCGTCCCATCCCTCCCCCCCCCCTCCCCCCATCCTCTTTCCAGAGAGAGTGGTCACGGAGGCATCAAGGCAAGTGGTGGAGGGGCATGCAAGGCGTGGACGGGGGAGGGCGCGGAGCAGTGCGTGGGGAGATTGCCCATCGAGGGGGCGAGGGCGACCCTCCTTCCCTCGTCCTTCTCCCATCCTCGCCCATCCTCCCCCCATCCTTCTCTCATCTTTCCCGCATTCTTCCCCCATCCTCCCCCCATTCCCCTCCCCCCCCCCCATATCTCCCCCCCATCCTCCCCCCCCCTCCCTCCCACCCACCCCTCCCCCCGTATCTCTCCCCCACCCTCCGTCTCAGAGAGAGTGGTGACGGAGGTGGCAAGGGAAGTGGTGGAGGGGCATGGCAAGGCGTGGACGGGGGAGGGCGCGGAGCAGTGCGCGGGAGGCTGCCCATCGACGGGGCGAGGGCGCTGGTGCAGCTGTATGGGCTGCCGTGCTCCCCTGAGGGGTTCCTGCACACGCTACTAGAGAGGCTTCAAGGCAGGTGGGGTGGGGGGGGGCGGAGCTGGGCTGGGAGGAGAAAGGAGGTGGGAATGGGAGAAGGGAGAGGGGAGCGGGGGGGAGAGGGGAGAGGGAAGAGGTGAGACGGGAGAGGGAAAAGCAGAGAAGGGGAGAGAAAGGGGTAACGGGGAGGGGAGAGGGAAGCAGGGATGCATGGGAGGGGAGGGGAGGTGGAGGGCTAAGTTGCCAAATACGCTCAGGACACTGTGCGTTTAGCGGATATACGCTAGCGTTTACACGCTAAACGCTAAACGCAAGCTAATACGCTATACGCTTGCCAATTTTTTTTTGGGGCAGCCCGACCGAAAAAAAATTGTGAATATACGGAAAGATGCGGAATTGCACGACGAGCATTTTGCCACCGTCAAAATTCGCGTCCGCGATTTGTGCAAGAGTGAACGGCAATTTCCGCGCTGATCGGCAATTTCCCTTCCCCGCAGATCCGCGCGGATCGAAGATTCTTCCCGCAGAAGGGATGGGGGGAAAGACTCTCCCTAGATCAACGTCTTGTAGATCTGGACTGGAAGTGACGTGACGACTGTACAAATTTCAAATATCAAATTGGTTGGATGAGATAGATGCAATGCGGTGAAGATAGGTGATGGGAGGGGGAATTGGTTGGAGGCAACATTGGCGATGGGTGTGGGGTACGACGAATTCCAACATTGGCGATGGTTTCCCTGTCCAGGATCTCTCCTACGCCTCCTACACTCTAGCAATCATGCCTTGTGATTGCGAGCCCGAAGCAGAGCAGATTCGCGCAACGCTATTGCAGTCTATAGCCTACGAACTCTGCATCTTAACCCGATTTCGGCCGAGTCGAGGGTGGTTATCTTAGTATGGAGAAAAACTTACCTCTGAAACATAACCCTTAGATCCCCCCCTATAATAGCCCGGGCGGATTTTTTTCCCTGCCCGGGAAAGTTTTTTCCCTGCCCCAAAAAGCGTATGTTCAAATCGCTCCCTTACGCGTATAGCGTATATACGCTAGCGTATATACGATACGCGTATGTACGCTATAAGCTTATTTGGCAACTTAGGTGGAGGGGAGAGGGAAGCAGGGATGCATGGGAGGGGAGGGGAGGTGAAGGGTATGGGGGACAGGTGTGGCGAGGGCAGGGAAAAAAGGGGAGGGAGGAGAAGAGAGGGCAGTGAAGTGAAGGAGAGGGGAGAGGATGCGAGGGAGACACGATGAGCGGTTGGAAGGTGGATTGTTTGAGGCTGTTTCTGTCTAGTTATAACGCCTGTCCCTGTATCTCCCCCCTCGCCCCTTCCTGCCTGCCTTTGCCCTCATCCCCCCTCCCTTTTCCCTCATCCCCCTCCCTTTGCCCCTTCGTCCTTTGGCCCCCCTTCCCCTCGCTTTTCGCATTTGCCCGGTTATTTCTCACTTCGGTTATTTCCTCCACTTTCCGCTTCCCCCCCTGTCTTCGACCATTTTTTTATTCCCCCTCTCCTGGTTCTCTACCTCTCCCACCCCTCCTCTTCTCCCCCTCCCCCCCTCTCCCTCCCCCTTCCCCCCCTCCCTCCCCTTCCTCCCCCCTCCCTCCCCCTCTCCCCCCTCTCCCTCCTCTCCTCCTCGCCTCCTCCTTCCTTTGCCTGCTCGTCGCGTTGCCGTCTCTTCCAATTTTGCCCTTCTCTTCTCACTCCTTTCCCTCGCTTTTCCTCCACTTTCAGCTTTTACCCTCTTCGATCGTTTTCCGATTCCCCTTCTGCTTCGCTACCTCTCTCACCCTGCTCCTCCCCCTCTCCCCCCACTCACCCACTCTGCCCCTCTCCCCGCCCTGCTCCTCCCCCTCTCTCCCCACTCTCCTGCCCTGTTCCCCCCTCCTTTCCCCCCAATCTCCCCCACGCCCCCCCGCGTCCCCCCCCCCGCCCCCCGCTTCTCCCCCTCTCCCCCCTCTCCCCCCCCTTCCCCTCCCGTGCCCCCCGCTTCTCCCCCTCTCCCCCCTCTCCCTCCCCTTCTCCTCCCCCGCGCCCAGGTGGCACCAGGCTAAGTCCTTGCCAGGGGCCCATCGGCTGCTCTCCCATCTCACGGCAGCGCACGTGCCTGTAGCCCTCGCCTCCAGCTCACCGCGCGGCATCATTGCCACCAAGCTTGCCCTTCAGCCAGGCGGGTAACCTTTTGTGCGCGTTTAGGGGGAAGGGGTTGGGGGTGCAGGAAGCGGGAAGCGGGAAGCGGGAAGCGGGAGGGTGGGAGGGAGGGGGTGGAGGGGGAAGGGGATTGGGGGGAAGGGAGGGATGGAGTGCTAGAGTTAGTTTGTGTTTGCACAGGGGAGTGTTGGAAAGGAAATGGGCCAGGGGGGAGGGCAGGAGAGAGGAAAAAGGGAGGGGGGGAAAAGGGGAGCGGATGGGGAGGGAGGGTGCCCTTGCCGTTGGTTGAAATTCGAGACGTCTCAAAAGTCCCTTGCCCTTGCCCATTCTCTTACCCTTGCCCTTGCCCTCGCCCTTGCCTTTGCCCTTGCCCTTGCCCTTACCCTTTCCCTTGCCCTTGCCCTTGCCCTTGCCCTCGCCCTTGCCTTTGCCCTTGCCCTTGCCCTCGCCCTTGCCTTTTGCCCTTGCCCTTGCCCTTACCCTTTCCCTTTCCTTGCCCTTGCCCTTGCCCTTGCCCTTGCCCTTGGCTGAAATCTGAATTTTGGATGGGAAGGGAGGGTTCTCTTGCTCTTGATTTCTTTTGTTCCAGACACTGTTTGAGTCTTCACTTGTTGTATCATTCCTCTTGCCACTCGGCTTTCTCCTCCAACTGGCAGACACTGTTACCTTCCGTCTCTCTTGCTGGTGTGCCGCTCTGTTCGTTGTCACATGGCATGGCACGGCATGGCACGTATGGCATGGCATGGCACAGCACTGCATGGTATGGCATGGTAGCATGACATGGAATGGCATGGTATGGCATGGTACTATGCCATGCTATGGTATGGCACGGCAATTGTGTGGCATGATATGGCGTGGTGTGGATGGGTGTGGGGCATCAAGGATGGCAGGAGCTGTTTGCAGTGACAGTAGCGGGGGTGGAGGTGGCACAGGGCAAGCCAGCTCCTGACATGTGAGTGGGGGAGGGAGGTGGGTGGGTGGGTGGGTGGGTGGGATGGATGATTCATGAATGCATTCTGCTGTAGCAGGAAGTGCTGTTGTCGCATAACAAAGTGTTCCATGCACCGCTATCATAAAAAATAGAAAGAAACCATTCTTATCAGTGTCTTATCGTCCTTGTCCTAATTGTTATCAATTTTTATTAATCACCCCCTCCTGATTCCTCCCAGGATTTTTGAGAGCTGCAGAGCTGATGGGAGCTAAGCCTTCGGAGTGCCTGGTGTTTGAGGACGCCCCGTGAGTGTGCTACTTCTAACTGAATGCCCCTGGTGTGCTAATCGCAGGTCTCTGTGAGGGCGTGTGCTAATTGCACGTCCCTGCTCTGCGCGTGTGTGTGCTGATTGCACGTCTCTGTGAGAATGTGTGCTGATTGCATGACCCTATGCGAGACTGTGCTGATTGCAACGTCCTCATCATTCTGCCCCCTCTTCCACTCCCATCATGAAACGGAAGTCGATTCCTCTTGCAAAAGCACCTATCACCCCACCAGCATGTGCCCGTTCAATTCCCTTTCTCTCTCCTCCCCTGCATGGCTGGCCTGTCTCTGCATCCATCACATACCACTACAGTTTCAGAAGGCCACTCGCATCTACTCACATCCTCAAAACAGTCTCGTTCCCATGTCCTCTCATCCGCATTCCTCTCATCACACACGCCATTCCTTTCTCCTTCACCTCTTCCACTTTTCACCCCGTTTACCGCCCCCTTCGGGCTATTCCTGGTTTTCCCGTCCTCATGTACTCCCCTTCAGTGCAGGTGTGCAGGCAGCCAGGGCAGCGGGCATGCATGTCGTGGCTGTGCCTTCTCTGCCACAGAAGGCTGCACGACCGCTCTACTCCTCCGCACACCAAGTATCCCTTCTGAACCCTTCTGGGACCTCTCCCCCAGTCGAGCACTCTACTCTGTCCCAGTCACCCTCCTTCCTGGGCCGTTCCAAACCATAGGAACCAGTAGGCCCGCGTCTCTCGTGGTACCAGATGGGAGTCACTTTTGAGAATTCTCAAAAAGTCACGTGGTTACCGTGGTAGCTACCAGATGCGTGCGAGCTTTTTGATTTGCCTCTGCGCCTCAGAGGTTGCCTTGCTGTGGTGGAGCTCACTTGTCATTGCTTCAATTTCCTTGCTGCTATGTTCTTCAGATGGATGGGTGCTTCCGCTGTGACTGAGACCGCATGTGTGTTTCCCCCCTCCCCATTCCCACCTCCCCCCTCCCCACTCCCCCCTCCCCGCTCCCCCCCTCCCCCCCTCCCACCTCCCCCATTCCACCTTTGTCCGTTCAAATTGTGCTCCTCGTGTTTGCTCCCCTCCTCTCCCTTCCCCTCTCCTCCCCTCACCTCCCATCTCCTCCTCACTACTTTCCCTCTCCTCTTCGTCGCTCGACTCTTTCTTCTGCTCTTTCCAGTTCCATCCACATCTCTTATCCTAGCATCTTGCTTCCTTGCTTTTGGATTTTTGTTTTTCCTCCTCACCCTTTCTACAACTCTCCTCTCCTCCGCACGCCTCTCCTTGTTCCTTTCATCCTCTTCAACCCCAACTCTCCCCCTCCCTCTCCTTTCTTCCCTCTCCCTCTCTCTCTCTCTCCCTCTCCCCTCTCTCCTCTCTCTCTTCTTCTCCCCTCTCCCTCGCCCTCACCCTCTCCCTTTCCCTCTCCCTCTCCCCCAACCCTTCCACGCAACCCACCAGATCCTTGCTTCACTCTAGACTTCCAACCAACGGACTGGGGCCTACCACCCTTCACTGACTGTGAGTCATGCTCATTAGCACCAATCAACTTTTGAGGCGCCTCAAAGTACTACTAGACTTCCAACTTCCAACCAACGGACTGGGGCCTACCACCCTTCGCTTATTGTGAGTTATGCTCATCAGCACTAAACAGCAGAACTAATCATTCCCAAACTACCTCCTCGGGCTGACCTTGTGCATGATGCGCTTGCCGTTGGTTGAGTCGACTCAAAGCACGGGGCCCTACCACCCTTCACTGACTGTGAGTCATGCTCATTAGCACCAAACAGCAGGAATATCCCCTGCTAACTACGTGCCCATCATTCTCAAACTACCTCCTCGGGCTGACCTTGGGCACAGCATGATGCACATGCCGTGATACATGTACGTACGTATGTATGGCATGCTGCACCTGGCATGCTGAGTCCATGTGACGTGAGCACCTGAAAGGGGTGAGGGCTCTCACTTAGAGCAGTGGGGCATCAGGGGGCACTGTGAGGGCCTAAATCACAACACAACAACTGCAGTCCACTTGCCTCACCTCTTGCAAACTATGCCATCCGGCACCCCCTTTGTGTCTTGACTCTTGACCTTCATCGTGACACCCTATAATGTCAAACATATTGGTGCACGTTTGAGAATTCGTCAATAGTCGCACCTATAATGTCAACCCTTGTCTGTCAGGTTCAGGCTGCGTGCCCGAACTAAGTTCCCGCCTTGCTTGTCGCATGAAACAGCAAGACGTTTTTTTCTTTTCTTTTTTCGTCAGATTACAAGGTTACACATCCAGCCACTTCCCAACCTCCCCGTCACCTCGTCCCCTTGCAGCCTTCCCAACCACCTCTAACTCTCCTTTTCGTCTCCTTTCGCCAAAACATAAGCTCACAAATTGTTCGTTTCCCAGTCCTCCCCTCCACCCCCTCACTTCTCTTCCCCACCATACCCTTTTCCCTCCCCCGCCACCTCTTTCTCTCACCTCTCCATCCTCCCTCCCCAACGTCCCCGTCCTCTCCCCACTAACCCCCTCCCCCCCCCTCTTCCCAACTCTGTTCCCCTTCCCTACCTTCACCCTCTCCATTCCCCTCCTGTCACCTCGACTCTTACTCCAGGGGTGCATGCTCGCTGCCCATCGATCCATGGTACATGAAAGGGCCTGTCATCAAGGGCTACGGCAGGCAGGGGGGTCCAAGATCCTAGGCATTCCCACCATCCCCAATCCTCTCTTCTCCTTACCTCTTACAACCACCTCTTTCTCTCCTTTTCCATTCCTCCCCTCCCCAACAACGCTTTCCCCCCTCGCTCTTCCCCCTTTCCCCAACCCTCCTCCCCTTCAACTCTCCTGCCACCTCGAACCCCCCTGCAGGGTTGCATGCCATCGCTGCCCATCGATCCATGGTTCATGAAAGGGCCTGTCATCAAGGGCTGCGGCAGGGGATCCAAGATCCTAGGCATTCCCACAGGTGCGTGCATGCATGCGTGCGTGCGTGCGTGCGTGAGAGTGGGGGGGGCTTGTTTCTCGCTGCCGTATGCACAGGTCACTACATTATGGGTGTGTCAAGGTCGCTGCATAGGTCGCTCCATAGGTTGTTCCGTTATCAAGGGTTATGGCAGGGGAACCAAGGCCCTGTCATTCCCACTGGTGCCATGCTGAGGTCTTGGCTTGACATGGAGGGTCTTGTTACTCGCTGCCCTATTCACAGGTTGTTTCACGGGTCGTTTCGTACGTTGTCCACATGTGTTGTTCCATAGGTCGTCCTATGAGTCGTTCCGTGGGTCGTTCCCATTGCACGGAGCAGGTGGTAACTGGCTGCTTGAGGGTAACCAGCTTCAAAAACTGGCTCCTTGTGTTACTTGCAAGACGATTGCATCCCTTGCAGTAGCTGCCTATTGGGCCACTGCGCGTGCTCATGGGTCCTGCTGCTTTGAGCATAGGGTTGCTGCTGCTGCTGTTGCTTGCTGATTTTGAACATGGGTCGGAGATTGGCTTGTTTAAAACGCGCACCTGTTGTTCCCTGCTCCAGTGATTCGTTTTGTGTTATTAGTGCACAGATTCACTCTTCCGCAGCATCTGCTATGATGCTATGCTATGGCGCTTGTGAATTTTTTTATTTGTTTTTCAATAATTCCTCCCTCCAATACAGACGTGTTGCTTCTCCTGTGAAGTGCCCAGTCCGTCCCAGTTCTTCTCCTGTGACGTGTTGCTCTTTGTTTTATTACCTTGTCCCCCAACCCAAACCTACCTGCCCTCATCCTGTCTGCATTGTGCCTAGGATAACACATGTGGGATTAACCACAGGTGGGACAGAGGCACGCTCGTAATAATCAAGCCTCCTACCCTCACTTCCTGCCTCCTCAATCCCTTGTCTCTCCTCCTCCTCCCACCCCCACCCCCCCCCCCACACCCCTCTCCACACATTCTCCTCTAACCTACACCTCCCTCCCCTCTCCATCCTGCACCAGCCAACCTGCCGTCCTCATCATTCGCAGGGCACCTGGCAGAGCACACGTGTGGGATCTACCATGGGTGGGCCAGAGGCTACCTTTGTAACAATAATCCAGCCAGCCACCGATCGTCCTTCCTTCCTCCCCATCCCCTATCTTTCCCTTCTCCACGTCACAATCCCCTCCTCCTTTCCTCTCTCCCTTCCTCACTCCCCCCGCCCCATCCCCTACCAGCCAACCTGCCGTCCTCATCATTCGCAGGGCACCTGGCAGAGCACACGTGTGGGATCTACCATGGGTGGGCCGCCTTGCCGGGGAGGGGCGTATTTAAGATGGTTATGAGCGTGGGCTGGAATCCCTTCTTTAACAACACGCATAAGACAGTGGTGGGTGCGAGTGTGTGCATCTGTGTATTGTGCGTGCGTGCGCGCGTGGCGTGGGTGGGTGGGTGTGTGGGGTTGGGTGCTTAGGTGTATGGGAGCTCGGGTGGATGGGTGCTCGGGTGGATGGGAGCTCGGGTGGATGGGTGCTCGGGTGGATGGGTGCTCGGGTGGATGGGTGCTCGGGTGGATGGTTGCTCGGGTGGATGGGTGCTCGGGTGGATGGGTGCTCGGGTGGATGGGTGGCTCGGGTGGATGGGTGCTCGGGTGGATGGGTGCTCGGGTGGATGGGTGCTCGGGTGGATGGGTGCTCGGGTGTATGGGTGCTCGGGTGGATGGGTGCTCGGGTGGATGGGTGCTCGGGTGGATGGGTGCTCGGGGTATGGGTGCTCGGGTGGATGGGTGCTCGGGTGTATGGTGCTCGGGTGGATGGGTGCTCGGGTGTATGGTGCTCGGGGGTGATGGGTGCTCGGTGGATGGGTGCTCGGGTGTATGGGTGCTCGGGTGGATGGGTGCTCGGGTGTATGGGTGCTCGGGTGTATGGGTGCTCGGGTGTATGGGTGCTCGGGTTGGATGGGTGGCTCGGTGTATGGGTGCTCGGGTGTATGGGTGCTCAGGTGGATGGGTGCTCGGGTGTATGGTGCTTGGTGGATGGGTGCTCGGGTGTATGGGTGCTCGGGTGGATGGGTGCTCGGGTTATGTATGGGTGGCTCGGGTGGATGTGTGCTCGGGTGGATGGGTGCTCGGGTGTATGGGTGCTCGGGTGGATGGGTGCTCGGGTGTATGGGTGCTCGGGTGGATGGGTGCTCGGGTGTATGGGTGGGTGCTCGGGTGGATGGTGCTCGGGTGGATGGGTGCTCGGGTGTATGGGTTGCTCGGGTGGATGGGTGCTCGGTGGGTTGGGTATGGGTGCTCGGGTGTATGGGTGCTCGGGTGTATGGGTGCTCGGGTGGATGGGTGCTCGGTGGATGGGTGCTCGGGTGTATGGGTGCTCGGGTGGATGGGTGGCTTGCGGGTGGATGGGTGCTCGGGTGGATGGGTTTCCTCGGGTGGATGGGTGCTCGGGTGGATGGGTGCTCGGGTGGTATGGGTGCTCGGGTGGGTGCTAGGTGCTCGGGTGGATGGGTGCTCGGGTGGATGGGTTTCTCTCGGGTGGATGGTTTGCTCGGGTGGATGGGTGCTCGGGTGTATGGGTGCTCGGGTGTATGGGTGCTCGGGTGGATGGGTGCTCGGGTGTATGTGCTCGGGTGGAATGGGTGCCTCGGGTGGATGGGTGCTTGGCGGGTGTATGGGTGCTCGGGTGGATGGTGCTCGGGTGGATGGGTGCTCGGGTGTATGGGTGCTCGGGTGGATGGGGTGCTCGGGGTGTATGGGTGCTCGGGTGGATGGGTGCTCGGGTGGATGGGTGCTCGGGTGGTATGGGTGCTCGGGTGGATGGGTGCTCGGGTGGATGGGTGCTCGGGTGGATGGGTGCTCGGTGTATGGGTGCTCGGGTGGATGGGTGCTCTGGTGTGGATGTGGTGCTCGGGTGGATGGGTTCTCGGGTGGATGGGTGCTCGGGTGGATGGGTGCTCGGGTGTAT